CGCTGTGGGTGCCGCTGTGGGTGCCGCTGTAGGTGCGGCTGTGGGTGCTGCTGTCGGTGACGCGGTGGAAGCACCCGGTGCTGCTGTGGGTGCCGCTGTAGGTGCGGCTGTGGGTGCTGCTGTCGGTGACGCGGTGGAAGCACCCGGTGCTGCTGTGGGTGCCGCTGTAGGTGCGGCTGTGGGTGCTGCTGTCGGTGACGCGGTGGAAGCACCCGGTGCTGCTGTCGGTGCCGCCGTCGGCAAGGCCGTTGGTGCCGTCGTGGGAGCTTCGGTTGGCGCCGGCGTAGAAGCCGCCGACGGCGTTGCTGTCGTTGTGTTCACGTCGTTCTGCGCCCCGCTCGCGAGCGCGCACGCAGCGGGGCCTTCAGTACAACCCCCCAGCTTCACGCCCCAATCCTGTGCAGATCGAAAGTCGCACAGGCCCGATCCATCCCGAGGCGTGGAGCACTTCGGTGATCGGCGGCCCGATCGAACGCCTCTAGCTCCAGCAAGGTCTCCTGCACATGTGGGCGGGCAAAAAGCTTCTCGACGTCGGCGCTGTTCGCAGCGGTGATCGCGGGGCACACGAGGATTTGGGGCCCGTGCGGGGCCCCAGGTCGGGCCGGAGTCGGCGCGCTCCCCCAACACGCCGATCACGACATGCCCTCTGTGATTCCTATATATCGGACTTTCGGCGAGCGCCCGTAGCTAAGCGCGGGGCACTCCGCCATGCCCGCTGCGCAGCGGCAAGATGCTGGGCAGATGGCGCGGACGGACGTGAGGCTGCCCGGACTGCAGAGGTCGACGCCCACGAGGGCGGACACCTCGTAGGACGCGAGGTAGCTGCAACCCGTGAGGCCGCGCGGGTGCGGAATGTCCGGGTGGGCGAAACTCCATGTGCCATTCACCAAAGATGCGGACAGACCGCCGGCCAAGAAAGACTCCGTGAACTCCGCGACGGTATGATTTCCGGCCGGCAGCAAGCCCATGGTTTGCATCGCCGCTGCTTTTACTTGCAACCGCGTCCTGGCTCCCCACGAGGACTCTGTGTTTGAAGAGACGCCTTGTGCATAAATTGCGTACCACTGAGCAATCCCAGACAATTGCAAGCACGCAGTGAAGTTAGTCAAGCAAGATATCGAAGCGAACGAATCACTAATCAAATCGTCGTCGCTGGCATCCTCGCAGGAGCTCGTTGGAAGGACCTGTAATCTGCGGGACGGCGCTGTGGGAGCTGGTGTGGGTAACGCTGTGGGTGTCCCTGGTGCTGCTGTCGGTGCCGCTGTAGGTACCGCTGTGGGTGCTGCTGTAGGTGCGGCTGTGGGTGCTGCTGTCGGTAACGCTGTGGGTGCCCCTGGTGCTCCTGTCGGTGCCGCTGTAGGTACCGCTGTGGGTGATGCTGTTTGTCCTGCTACAGGTGACGCATCCGATGCATTCGAAGAAGCGCTTGACAAATACGACAGCTGGTCGCGCAGCGCGTACATATCGTGGCACCTGGCAAGCTGTCTCCCGACACAAGCTCACTCGCGGTCCGATCCTGATCCTGCTTCGGTTGGCGCAGAACTGCCTGCTGATCGAGAGCCCGATCGACTGCCCAGGTTCCAGTCGATCGAAGGATCGACGAGCCTGACGAAGCCCCGATCTGGGGAGACCAAAAGGAATGTACCCATACCGCTCCTCCCCGGACCTCTCCCGGGGTGCGTTCTGACCAACCAGGATTTCGAGGCGAATCCAACGGTGGCGACGAGGGCCTCCCACGAGGCCGAACAACGGGAAAACGGGCGAGGGGGTGGAGGTATGGGTACCTTTTCCTCCTCTGACGATCGACAGGTCGGGGCCTTCTGGGCAGCGCACTGCTGTGGGCAGCCGTAGCTCACCGAGCCGAATGCCCCGGTCATCCCAGAAGGGCCCCTGTCGCAGCCGCACGCCACGGGGCACAGGGCCCGGACGTTCACGCTCACCGCGTCCGCGCCCGCGCAGAGATGCGCGAGCTCCGAAGGGGACTGCCCGTCCGAGGAGTCGAAGAAGGAGAAGAACTCTGGGGAGGAAAAGGTACCCATACCTCCACCCTTCCTTCGTTTCCCCCTTTTTGGGCCTCGCGGGAGGCCCTCGTCGCCACCGCAAGGTTCGCCTCGACATTCTGGTCAGAACGCACCCCGGGAGAGGTCCGGGGAGCAGCGGTATCGGTACTTCTTTCGTATCTCCCCAAAACGCCATGAACATAAACTTTTGGTGCTCCGCGCGGATTTCTTGGATCTGCGCTGGACCCCCCTCCCTGGCGCGCGGAGCGCGCCAGGGGCGGCGCCGCTGAGGCGCCGCCAGGTGGGGGCCCGTGCGGATACAAGAAGTCCGCGCGGAGCGCCAAAAGTTTATGTTCATGGCGTTGTGGGGGGATACGAAAGAAGTGCCGATACCGCTGCTCCCCGGACCTCTCCCGGGGTGTGTTCTGACCAGACTGTCGAGGCGAACCTAGCGGTGGCGACGAGGGCCTCCCGCGAGGCCCACAGAGGGGGAAACGAGGGAAGGGTGGAGGGGTGGGATTACCCCTTACTTCCTCCGCAGAAATTCCCCCTCCTTCTTCGCATGAGGTGAGCATGCTGCACGTGAAGCCGGAGATGCCCGTGGCCTGCGCCAGGTGCCGGTCCGCCTGCGCCGGGGAGTTGCCGGCCGCGCCGTCGGCACAGGGCAGGAGCAGGGCCGCGCTGGCCACGGAGGCGGCGCTCCAGCTCGCCAGCAGCTCGAAGGCCCCCTCCTCGAAGGCCCAGGTCTCGACGCCTCCTCGGCCATGGCGCGCACTTCAACGGACGATCCAATGGTGATTTTACGGACAGAAGCTTCATATCTATATCTATATTTGAGATGTGTATACATATAAGGATACATGTATATATATATATATATATATATACAGAAATATAGAACTATATCTTCATATGCAAGACTGCATTGGCGCTTCGCGCCATGCACCTTGGTCCTTGAAGCTTGGTCTGCAGGCGGGGTGGCAGGAAGGTCAGGCCGACAACTTCGCGATAAGTTCTGGTTGCCTTTTCCGGCGTCGCCGCTCAAATGATGCAATTCGTTATCCTTCCTCCATGTTTCTTTCTCCTCATCTTCGCCATTCCCTGCGAATGTATATATATATATACAAATATACACACATATGCATGTATGTATAGATTCCCATTCAAATGCATGCTTATAGGGCTGGGGACCCAGGGAAAGCTCCCCCCCCTTACGAATTTGGCCAACCCCGGGCCTATCGGGCAGCCCTCCGGACGACCCGGGAGACCCCCACGAGAGCCCGAACACGGCCCCAGAGGGCTCCAGGCGTTCCGGCGCGCTCCCGAAACGACCCCATAGAGCCCCAAGACGGTCCACGACGACCCCAAAAGAAGCCATCGTACCCCCAAAGATCGCTCCAAAACGTCCGAAGAGGCCTCCAAGAGCACTTCCAAGAAGGCCCCAAGAGGCAAAAATCATGGATTTGTCCCATGGTTTTTGGTGAATTGTGGGGTTCTCTTTTCGGCTTCCCGACGCTCCAAGACGGCGGTCTTCTGGGCGTCCGAAGCCGCCTCGGAGGCTCGAAACTCGCCCCACAACCATCCGAAAGGGCTTCCAGGCAGTCCAAGAGAGCCCCAAGACGGCACAACAAGGTTCCAAGATGGCCTAAGAAAGCTCCATGACGGCCCAAGATGGCCCCCAAACACCCTCGGAAGCATTCCAAATCGTGACCTGGTCGTTCAGGGAGACCGCGGTTGGAGGCAGGGTGGGCCGAGGAAACCCCCAGAGGTCCCCAGAAGACGCCCAGGAGGCCTCCCGAAGGCCTTAAGAAAGCCTGAGCATCTTGTGTGAGGCCTCCAGAGGCTGTCCAAGGAGGAGCCTCGGCAAAAAGAGCTGAGGAGGATAGGGAGAATACGCAGGGTATGGCGAGAACCAGGAGAAATAAACATCGAGGAAAAAACAATTACTCCGACGGAAGGACCCCACATGATAATCTGTTTAGCTTTCCCTTATCCCTTTCCTCCCGGCCATGGCAAACACCCTCGTATCGCCCTCTCCTCTGCCATCTTTTCCTCTTCTTCTATTTCCCCCCCCCTCCTTCTCCTCCTCCTCCTCCTCCTTCTCCACCTCCTCCTCATCATCGCCCTCCCCATACCCCTTCCGTCCTCATCCTCCTCCTGCCTCTTTTCCACGTGCACGTCCCTTTCCCCCCGGTCGGGGGAAGCAAGTCGATTTTCCTCGGCGCCGTCGCCGCCCCGGTCAGAACGCGCGCGTTTGCCGACGGCCAGATCGCGAAGCCGTCGGGTCAACCCTTCGGGCCAGCCATGCCTGCGGGGCACTCCCGCGGGCCGCCGGAGCGCGAGGGCAGGCCGTCGGGACAACCCCGCGGGCCAGGCCGTTGGGACAACCCCGCGGGCCTCCTCGCGCGCGCCGCGGCGCTCAGGCGGGCGGCAGCACGAAGCCCAGCTCTGCCGCGAGCTGCTCCGCTTCAGCCCTGGAGTCCACCGCTCTCTCGTCGAACTCCTGGAGCGCCTTCCGCAGTGACGCCGGCGGCCCGCGCTCCAGGAACTCTCGCGCGGGCGGCCGCAGGATCAGCATGTTCCGCATGCACGTGGCGCGGGGGAACATGACGTAGAGGTGCAGCCACCACATATCGTCCGACATGCCCGTGCGGCCAGCGTCCTCATCCCTGGCGCAGTCGATGGTGACGCCCTTGCGCAGCGTCTGGCCCTGCGACAGCGTGGAGGTCAGGTAGGACGCGTGCGTCAGCGTGAATCCCGAGCGGCGCACAGCGTGCGCCCCCGAGCTCTGCCACGTGAACTCCTGCTCGCTGGGCCTGAACATGAGCAAGCTCCTCGCCCGCGCCTGGGCCTCGCCGTCGTCGTCAGCGCCCTCGGTGCCCTGCAGCAGCACCTCGGCGACCTCCTTGTAGATCGGGGACTCCTGGAAGCCGTGCACATGCAGCCAGATTCCCTGCGGTAGGAAGCGGGGGCGGAAGAGCTGGCCCGGCGCGCACTCCTCGTAGTCCCGCTCGTCGTCTGCGTGAAACTCGAAGGACACGATGGTGGCCCGTTGCTCCTGCACGAGCCCCAACTTCTTCTTCAGCTCCTCCTGCACGGCCGTGAACCGGACCTCCATGCCGACGTGTGCCGGTAAGACGCCGTGGATGTCCCCCGTCTTGTGCATGTTCGGGACGTTCAGGAGGCGCCGGCCTGCGTCTGGTTCGCCTTGAATCGTGCCGCACTCGTCTACGGCCTGCAGGAAAACGAGGGGGACGCCGAGGCGCCGCGCGTCGCGACGAGCGCGCGTGTTGATCCACCTCGCCAGCGTCTCCCAGTAGATGCCCATGCCGTAGCCGAGCCGAAAGTTCTCGTGCTGGTGCCGAGGGTCCAGGACGCCGTGGTTGTCAGAGGCCAACGTCTTCTCCCAGGCAGACCAGACCTCTGGTGGGAAGCGCTTGCCCTCGCGCATGCAGCCCAAGAACGCGATCAGAGGGTCCCCCGGCTCGAAGCGCTTCGTGCCCTTCAGCTCGAAGACGCAGGGGATCTGAGAGAATACCCTGATGGCGTGCTGGATCTCCACCGTCGGCGGCTCCGCGTACTTGTACGACCCGTCGTCCAGGAGCTCGTTCACGTCCGTCAGGAGCCCGATGCTGCCGGTGGGCTTCAGCTGCAGGAAATCCCCGAGGTGCAACACGATGGGGACGCGGCCGAAGTGGTGGTGCGGCCTCTTGTAGGTGGACTCCTGCACGTCGTGCGTGTCACTGCGCCCGTGGCAGGCGCGGAGGTCCAGAGCGTTGTACAGAGCAGCTGCCACCATGCTCACCTCCTCGATGACCAGGACGCGGACGTGCTCCCACAACCACTGCAATCTCTTCTGCATGCTCTCCAGTCTCATCTTCGCGTTGATGTACTTCTGGACTCGCAGGGCACAGGCGTTGTGCAGCGTTCTGGCCTTCACCGTCTCCGTGGAGATGTTCTTCGCCTGCGCGTTCGAGAAGGCCACGACCATCATGGCGCCCTTGTCCTGCGCCGACGAGGGCCACAAATACTCCACCACTGGGAAGACGATCTTCTGCACCACGTGCGTCTTCCCCGAGCCGCCCTGGCCCAACAGGAGCAAGTGCGTCACTTTTCTCTCGCTCCAGGGCTTCTTCTGCACGTCGTCCTCCCAGGCGTCGTCGCAGGCCTTGGCGAACTTGGCGACGAAGAGCGTCTGGTCCCGCGTGAGTCTCTCGTTCTCCGGCAACCCAGCGACCAGGGCGGCGATGTACGCGCTGGGCGTTGGGTACACGCTGCTGGCAAAAACGCTGCGACAAGAGACGGTCCTCAGACGGGACTACCCGCACCGCCCACAGACAAAGTTCCCGCTTGATACTTCCCCCTTGTTCAGGCCGCAGGAACTGAGGAGCCCAAAAAGCTCGCTCGGATGACCCGCTCGGGTTCGAACATGAAGTGCGTGCCCCACAGGGATGGAGCGCCCGCCTGATACTTCTCCCATATTCAGGCCTCAGGAGCCCAAAAGCGACGACAGTTACAGGTTTCCGATGACCCGCTCGGATTAGTAAGATGATCTGCGGGCCCCATAGGGAGGGGGCTTCCGCCTGAGACTTCCTCGCAAGTCACTCACAGACGAGGCTCCCGCCTGATCCTTCTCCCATATTCAGGCCTCAAGAGCCCAAAAGTGACGACAGTTACAAGATTCCGATGGCCCGCCTCGGATTAGTAACATGATCTGGGGGCCCCATAGGGAGGAGACCCCCGCCTGAGACTTCCTCGCAATTCACTCACAGACGAGGCTCCCGCCTGATACTTCCTCCAAATTCACGCCCCAGGAGCCCAAAAGTGACGACAGTTACAGGATCCCGATGACCCGCCTCGGATTGGTAAGATGATCTGCGGGCCCCATAGAGAGAGGCTCCCGCCTGAGACTTCCTCGCAATTCACTCACAGACA